GCTAACAAACAAACAAATGCATGGGATGGGCCCTGTCTGCCCATTTAATAAGATTTGGAAAGCCCGGAATTGCAGCCTTTAACGGCGCTCCTATCCATTTGAATCTACATCACATCCATTTATTATTGAAACATGATGGTTGCCCGTTTAGCTTTGATCATTCGAGTATTATGTTGTATTCAATGTCATATTTTTAAAAAAAAAAATTCGATTGATAGGAGTAAAAAAAGTTTTGAATATAAAATATGAGTTTTATGTCTTCTATGATTAAAATATGAAAATAATGGCAGTGTGATATAAATGTACATGTTGGCAGTGTGATAAAAAAGTGATGACAATATAATATGTCAGTGTGATCAGTCAATCGTCAGCGATCTGCAACGGCACTCTAGTGGCCGGTGGCCACAGATGATAGTGTGACAGTTATAATGTGACAATGAACTTAGTATGACAGTGTTGTAACAATGACAGTATGAACTCGTATTTTGGTCTTTAAATGCATTTGACTCTTGTTTTGGAATTTTACATAATTTTTTTACTCCTATCTAAGGAGTTCTCCCTATTTCTTTTGTAAGTACCAGACACGGAACAGTCTCTGGATCAAGCAAATATTATAATGTACTCCGTAGTTTACTCAATTACTATTTTGTTGTGTTAGAAAAAATGATGAGCCCCACTCCCGAGGGCCTACTTCAGACCCAGCCGGATGGTAACTGAGAGGGGGTAATTTAAATTTTGATTGTAGATTAGCAGCAAAGAGTGGAGGTACTTGCAGAAGCCATATATATGCTTAACATAGTTTTTCTCTAAGCGCTGTTGCCAGGAATCAAACTCGGGTTTTACCTTCTTGACACTCCTTGTCTAGCCAAATGCGCAACGCCCACCGGTTATTTTATCGGGTTAAAGCATGGGGACATCAGTGAGGGCGTTCTACTTGGCGTTCTACTTTTTATATTTAAAAAACATATAGTAACAAAAAAAATCATAAAATGTACTCTGTATTAATTTGTCATTTGTGAACCCACCACAAGAATATAATGGTCTCAAATAATTAGGAAAAGAAAACTTAGATTTACAAATTGTTAGTTTGTGTATTTTGTAAAAATTTTGTTTTGACTTTAGTGTTTTTCTTTAACTTTTCCTCATAAAACGACACAACTTATATAGTCTTAAAATTAAATGGTTACGAATTATGCAAGAAATAATTAGGAAATGGGAGCTTCTAATTTTTTTAATGGGAGGATCAGTGCTATATTTTTTTAAGTAATAACACTGCTAATTAATTTTGTTAAATCCACTGGCAATAACGGGGTACTTCACAAACAAAATTCTCACAAAATATATAAATTTATCGTTTGTGAATTTTAGTATTTATTTTTTAATTTTTTGAAACCGTTATTTAGAGTACTATACATTATATTTCATAAGTTTATGCATTTTGTGAATGTTTTATTAATTATTATTTAAACACTACCATAATACTATTCATCTTCTTTCATACGGATGGGAGTATTTTCATTTACTTTTCAATTTTCACTACTCAAATATATTACCTCTTTTATTTACTCCCTCCGTCCGGAAAAGAAGTTTACGTTTTGACTTTTAGTCATTTTTATTGATGGTTGACTATGGAGTGAATTAGTCCAAAATGCCCTTCCCTATTTCTGGCCGGTGGATTCGTGCGGAAATGCGGAAGAACAACCCCAACCACCCATCTTCTTCTGATTCCAATCTTTAGCAGCAATAATTCAAGATCCCCATTATTGGAAATTTGTAATATCAACACCCATCCCTTCGCCTCTGCCTCCTCCTCCACCCCTTCGCCTCTACCTCCTCCTCCACCGCAACAGCAGCAGTTTCTAGAGCTCCATCAATGGTGATAGTGAGCCGGCGGCCAACAGAACCAACCCAATCCCCACGACCATGACCAGATTATTCAGCTTCAGCCACACCACCTAATGCTCCAGCAACAACAGCCCCTCGCCGCCGCCCCGCCGCCGCATCCGTAGCCGCAGCCCGCACTCTGTCACCGCTAGCCCCCATCACCGCTAGCACCTTAATCACCGTCATCTCCAATCTCTGTGATTGCAGATCTGTTTAGATCTAGAAAAAAGAGGGAGAAGGAGGATGAGGAAGAAGAAGAAATTAGATCTACACAAAGAAAAAAAAGAGGCGCTGGGAGGAGAAACAAAAGAGAAGAAAGAAAGAGGATAAACAAAGAATGAAGGTAAGAAGATCAGAGAAGAGTGGCGGAGAAGAGAGGAGAAATAAGAAAAAAGTAAGGAAAAAAAGAAGAGAAAGAAAGAAAGGTAGAGAAGGGTATTTTTGGAAGAGTGTGGATTAAAATTAGAAATGTAAACTTTATTTTCGGACGGAGAAAAATTAGAAACGTAAACTTTATTTCCGGACGGAGGGAGTACTTTTCACTGTACATTTACTTGCTATCATGATATTTGTTTTTTGTAAAAAATAACAAAGTTGAGTAAATTCTATAAATGGTCCCTAATTATAGGTTCATTTTCATATTTAATCTCTAATTTTTAAACGTTCTTAAATAGTCCTCAATTTTTGGTTATTGACGACTAAATCGGGAATAATTATCAAAGGTTTAAAGAGATATATAAAAAATATGAAATATACTCCCTCCGTCCTAAGACGTTTTCTCATTTCTGTTTACGAGTTTGATCGACTTATTTTTAATTTAATTTATTTGATTGTAGGTGTAAAATTGAAAAATAAAATTTATATATTAAAAAATTGCATCAAAAGTCTTACAAAACAAGATGTGAAATGACTATATTATTTTATCAAATAACTAACAAAAATAGGTAAAGAAAGTGACTAAAGTTTGACCATATGAATAGTAAGCGGGAAGAATATTTTAGGACGAAGGGAGTAATATTTTAGAAAGACATATTGTAGAACTTACATACTTCTCCGTCCCATAAAGTGTTACCCATTTTGACTAAAGTAGAAATTAAGGGAGGGATAATTTTGTGTTGACTTTCCAAAAATATCCTTGATGTGATGGGTAAAAGTAGGATGTGATGTTTAGATTATTAGGAAAAAGGTATGATGTAATAGGTAGGGTTTGAAAAGTAAGGGGTAAAAGTGGTTTTTTAATAGAAAAGAATAGGAGATTGTGGGACACGATTTTTTTGAAAGGTGTAAATCCTTTTGAGACGGAGGGAGTATGATATATGACGTTAGATGAATTCATACTCGCACTGGATGAGTGTGTGATTAACGCACTAAAAAATTTAGCACAGAGAGACCATATGTGCAACATTTTTAAAAGTTAAGGCGGTATAGGTGTAATTTTTGAAGTTCAAAGGGAATTTGCGCAATTTTTAAAAAGTATAGGGGTAAATGGTGTAAGATACTCTATTTAGAAAATGTCGCACCATTTTTTGAGTTGAAGAGAATTCAATTCAAATGAAGAAAGAGGTGAATCCATCAACAGAGCAGAAATTAATTAGACTATTGCACAATTTTTTCAGTCAAAGAGAAATCAAAGAAAGAAAGAGGCAAATCGATCAAGAGGCAATTTTACGAACGTAGCACCGAAAGAGTCCCGAGTCATGACCTGAGGTTCAAGGGTCAAAAGATTTTTTCCAAGTTAAAATAGAGTACTCCGTATTTCATTTCATTTAGTAACATACTAAGTATATTTTTGTTTTATTCCACACTAATAGTACCACCAACACATGAAAAGGTCATCGTCAAGAAAGTCGCACATTAGATAGATAACAATAGTCACAGTGCGTTACAACTAAAACCACCCCACTTTAATTAATCATATGAAATTATATTGCCACACCAATCAATTATGCTCTATGGTATTATTATACGGAGTATACTGTAGGAACTAACTTAATGGAGACAATTATGGATGCATAATAACGTACTTTTCGAGTAGTGTATAATTTTAATTATAATGAAAAAATTCATATCAATATAACATTCTAAAAAAAATACTATGTTGTTACACATACGGACGACCATGTAAATTAAAGTTTCACAAGCCAAGGGTTTGTTCCGTTCAACTTATTTTTTCAACTTATTACTTATTCTTATTAAAGTCATATAAGATTAGAAACAACTTAAAATATAACTACAATCATATTAGAACAGAATAGATCTTCAAAAAAATCGGATTAAATCAGGCAAATGAAGTGCAATCTTAGTTGTTAAATATATTCATTTATTAGAATAATGCCAACAAAAGACGAATATATGAATAATTTTTTTTTATAATTTTTTGAAGATTTTTAAAAAATTAATTATGCATGTATGTATATTTTTTAAAGGGGTAATTTACATAAATATGACTAAAACATAACGCCTTTCTCAATATAAAAGCATACTACGTATGTTTTTATTCCCAATGAAGGACCATTGGTCATTATCTATTAGTAATTATTTAACTAAATGTCCAGCATCACTTGGACATTATTTTTCTCACTAGACATTATTAAGTCCTATTTAGAGAATAAAAAAGTTTAAGTCCTAAATTGGAAAATGACTTATGTTTAGTCCTATTTAGTGCAAATTTCACTTTCCAAAGCGTGCATACAAAATTTTGGAAAAGAAATGCATTTATTAATTCTTTTCAAGAGATAAAAACAGATATTAGGATTTATTCTCTTCACCTGTCGATTGTAATAAGTTCTAATATAATATAGTCTGATCTGATTATAGTTATATTTAAAAATATTTCTGATTTGATATGATATGATATAATTCGAATTAGAATATGTTAAAGGAGAACAAGCTCTTAGTCTAATGTGGTTGTGCTCTAATTTAAAATCTAAATAAGCTTTTCGAAGCAAACTGAAATCACTCAAATTCGAATATTCAATGCTTGAGTGAAAATTTGTATGATTTTCTCATAAAATGAATTGAGAGATAATTATTCCGCCGAAAATTATATGGAACAAATAACTTTTACTCCGTAGGTAATTAGTAATCTTGCACTTGCTTCATTATTGGCAGCAAGTAAACCAATGTAGCATTCATTTACGCATTTTATTAGACTTTAGCAAAGACCAATTAATTGTGGTCATCTTACTTCTAATTACGAGGTTTTTTTGACAAATATAGATCCACAGTTACTTTTTCGGTCTTTTCGATTCAGATTGGTTTGGTCCAAGCATTTTTTTTGGTTTGGTTCGATCTAAAACCGATTATTAATAGGTCCGGTCTTCGGTCTAATTTTATTCCGATTTTGGTCATTGGTCCAGTCCGACTTGATCCGGTTTTTTAATACACTATTTTTTCATATAAAATGATTTGAAATAAATTCAATCAAACATCGTATATCGAAATAGATAATTTAAATTAGAATGGAGAGAATAACATTTTTGGAAGGATAAAAAAAGAAAAGTTAAAGTTGGATGGTAGGTTAAGAGTCATCATTATCGCCAAGGACTTCTTTCTTGATAGCTTTAGAAGTGTCCTTTACCTTTTCCCACGTTCCTTTCTCTTCTTTTTCTTCTTCCCCTTCTGCTGCTCTCTCTATTGCCTTCTCCGCCACTGCTTTCACTGCCTGATATATATATATAAACTATTTATATTTAATACGGTACCATTTTTAATTAATTCAATTAATTAATTATTGCCATCACATTCAACAATATAATGATGTTGAGTTGAAACAAGTATTTGTATGTGAGGTTGACACCATACAAAAATGCACAAACTCACCACTAGCTACCCATATCCCATAGAGGACAATTTTTTTTGTATATACACAGAGTGTTATCATCTGTTCTGTTCACTATTGATTATCGTCTGTATAGATAAAAACTTATCTGTATTGTCATCGATGTAGTCATGGGTGGTGGGTCTCTAGCACAGTCCAACTCAATTGAGAAATCGTTGTTCAAACAATGAAGGTGTCACCGGTGGTGTAAAACAAACATAGACAAAAATATTGTCTTTTTTTTGTATGCAAGGTGTGCCAAATAGAGACGCTCGTTCGTGCACATTTGCGCAATAACTACTCACATATGTGAGCGGTAGTGGCTAGCTAATCGTGATGATGAGTTCATATATACACGATAAAACCGAGACCCGTAGTGTCAAAGTTGAGGGCAAAATAGGGATTATGGATGGTATATTTTTGTACGTACCGATCCCGCTCCAGTAGCAACGGCTTCTTTGACCTCAGAAACAACACCTTTGACCTCCTTTGCTCCTTCCTTTACTGCTCCAGCTGCTTCTACCACTCTTTGACATGTCTCTTTATCAACCTTTGCCTATTTTTCTCATTATATTTATAGGGAAGAAATGAGTTCAGAAATAGATGATCAAATGACGCCTACAAAAACAATTTAACACTTGAAATAATTTTTAAACGTATTTATCAAACGTTGCAAACCGTTGTACGATGGGAGAATTCACACTTTATTGTCGTCTTTTGTTTTATAAATACGAATATTTTTGTAGAACGTTTGAAATAATTTATAAATAAGTAGTATAGATTCTATCATTTAATTCTCCAACAATTCTTAAATAAAGTGGATGGGAAATAATTTAGTAGAGATGGTTGATTCAAATATAGCCATATAGGTGCTCAACAATTATACTCCGTATTAATTTCATTAGTATGACACTTTTTGTGTTGGTGACAACCACTATTTAAAGAGATATTAACCTTGTGAATTAAAATGTCATATTAACCATTTGCGGGAAATAGGCAATTTGGGTCATTTGGCTCAACCATCTAGCAAGAAAAAACGACTACAACAATAACAACAACAACCCAGTTGGATCCAAGTCTGGAAGAGGATGTGTGTACGCAGACCTTGCCCCGACCCAAAAGTAGAGAGACTCTTTCCATTAGCAAGAAAAATGAATTGTTCACATTATTCTCTCTTATAATCCTCCATCACACATTTTTTTTTTAAATCTCATAAAAACAATCAAGAATTTCTCATCAAGATTGTTTTATATGCTATACTCACAAACATTTCTATAGCACTAATGACTTTATTATATGTCAATCATAAACATAATAGTTTTAATTTCCTTGTAAGAAAAACATTGTTTCCAATGAAACGAACCCAATTTATATGCACATATATATTCTTTTGCAAATGAATAATGAAAGTGCTCACTTTTTGCGAAGGCAGTGTAGCAGAAACGAAGCCTCTGCAAATTGATGCTGAAGAAGAAGAAGAAGAAATAATGCAGGATTTGAACAAAGTGTCTCCAAGTAGTTTCCAAGTCCCCATCACCTTTGATCCCATTCAATTCAGATCTACTTTTAATTAATTTGTTGCCTCTCTCCTAATTGAATTGTCTCCTGCGAAAGAAAAAAAACCAATTTACTTCTGATTTTCAGTTTATTTCTTTTCGTTTATTAACTGTAGATTTTTTTTTGATTATTTATTTCTGATGTGAAAAAAAAAGTTAATAGGATGAGAATGAGGTGCGTGGTTGCGTTCCGCCACGTGTTTGTTTCTGAGTGTTTTTTTGCACCTGTGTAGAACACACTGGTAACCGTACGCCTCCATTTTGGGCCTATGGTTTGAGCTTGTTGTTGGATCGAATATGGCCCATCCATCCTCTAAACAAATTCATAGGGCCCCTTTTTAGGACAGTAGAGGTGCCAAATTGTACTATCCTCATATTCGACTCTAGATGCATGAGATAGTATGTGACATTGAAAAAAATTAAAATAGGAATAAAATATTGATAATATATAAAAATATGAGTTTTATGTTTTTCTTCTCGAAAAAAGAGTTAAAATGTATTTTACATTACCAATCATGATCATATAAATTACCAAAAGGGATAATAATATGTTCATGTACAATATCATATTAACATAATGCAAACTCTTATTTGAGAAATAAAAACATGAAACTATGATTTTGATACTTTTTCTATGTTTACTTTTATTTAAGGTGATTTCTTCTGTGACATTTATATAGAGAGTTACTCTCCGGGACACATTTTTTTAGAAATAACTCTCATATTTTTCTATTTTTAAAAAGATATCAAGGGTGTTTAAATCTTATTGTAGTTACTAGGAGAGGACATTCCGATTTCCGAATATCTACTGTTCCGTTCGATCTAAGTACTTTCGTCTAAAAAAAGCGTCACAGTTACTATTTTTGGATTCACAATAATTGTTGTGTGTTTGTGTATTTTTGTTGATGATATGATAATGTAAAACATTCTGCTTGTACTTTTGAATCTAATTTACAAAGAAAATAATTTTAAAAGTGATGGAATTTTATACGTTGTTCGAAATATAACCATATATAAATTTCTGAGGGAGGGAGAATTTAAAAGAATTGAAGAACCTTGAGGAGACTTTCTATGAGAAATTCTTGCTTTATTTTTCATTCTTTTTGCTTTTATTTTGCTCGGTATTTTCTTTATTCGGAAATTTTTTATTTCATTAATTTGTTACGGAATAGATCGTTAAAAATTATGAATTCTTGAACCATTTTTCTAGGGAAAAAAAAATTTAAACAATAAAAATAAAAAAAGATTCTAAAAAAAAGGAGGGACTTAAAAGTTATTACCATAAAACATTAACGGCTGATAGTGTGACAATTACGATGTGAAAATTAAATATGGTGAGTACGTGTGCCAGTGTGAAATCCTATTTTGGGGTTCTCCTTTAAAAAAATGGAAGTGTTTTAGGAAAAACGAAAAACATAAAAGAGGAAATATTTTACGAAATGGAGGGAGTATATGTTAATTATTATTTTTTCAAACAAAGAATAATTTTAAATTTTAAGAACATTAAAGAAACAAATTTGAAAAAAAAATTAAAAACCTAGATTAATAAAACAAACAAATTAAATAAAGAAAAAAGAGAAAAACAAAAAAATAAATGAAAAATAAGAATTGAGCACTAATGCCCGCCTATGGTTTGGAAAATAGGCACAAATGACCCCTTCTTCACCCGAAAAAAAGCTAGAAAATGATCAGATGAGGTAAAAGTGTAATGTTTTGAAACCACAGAATTTTCAGAAATAAATTTTGAAAATATGTGGGAACTAGTGCCTACTCTCTCCGTCTATTAATTTCGTTCTAACTTTTCTCTTTGCAATTGGTTGTCCAAAAATTTTTCTCTCGTTTCTTATTTTTGAAAAAAACTTTTAATGAATATGACATTATACTCATACTTTTTATCTATAGTATTTACTTTATTGCATCACATCAAGGGCTATAAATGGAAAGTCTTTATAATTTTTTAACTTTTTTTTTTTAATTTTTGTGTCGAATCAAACTAAAGGGATACTCGAGCTATCTGAACGTTATATTTTACTCCGTAGGTTTTTACGAAGAGAGATCGGGTATGTAGATGCATAAAAAGATTTGAGTTTTATACTACGTAATACCCAAGAAAAATTGAATTCTAATTAAATCAACACACAAGATAATCTCATCAAATTAATTATTACTCCGGTAAAAGAAATTGAATTCTAATTAAATCAACACACAAGATAATCTCATCAAATTAATTATTACTCCGGTAAAAGACACTACCATACCACACATACAAAATGAAAACCCGAAAGGGTGAATAAAACAAAATAAGCAGATCAACCATTAGGGCAACGTTCTTACTACAAGATCCACTTTGCATGCTAACATATGCATAATAATGCATCCATGCAAACCCAACCCAAAATGCACAAATTAACCCAAAATTATTCCATAGAAAAATGACGAAACACTAGAATTGAAGAAGAAGAAGAAGTACTAGGCGCCAAATTAAAGCTTCTTCAAGGAGCAAGCTAAGATCTGATCTAAGGAATAAAGATCTTTCCAATCCCGCCGCCGATCCCTCCGCCAATCCCAGCTCCGCCGATACCACTAGCACCACCAAAGCCGCCCAGCCCTCCGAGCCCGCTTGCTCCGCCAATCCCCCCGAGCCCGCTTCCACCACCGATCCCTCCGAGACCACTTCCACCACCGACCCCTCCGAGTCCGCTTGCGCCCCCAATGCCGCCACCGGAACCACCAAGTCCCCCGACACCGCCTCCGCCGCCACCGGAACCACCAAGGCCGCTCGCGCCGCCGATTCCACCGGCCACCCCACCGAGGTGGCCAAGGGCCGGAAGCACGTAGCCAACCCCGCCCCACCCACCAACGCCGCCAACTATTAGGTTCTTCTTGTCACCAACCCCGGCCGGCGCTGATGCAGGCTCTGCGTTCTTCAAGGGTATGATCAGATCCTGCGTCTTGCCGGCCGGAACCTTACGCCCCGCCGCAGCGGAATGCAACATTACTAGTACTAAGAACACAAACATTACGTTCAATCCTGTCATTTCTCTCTCTCTCTCTCTCTCTCACTCTCCCTAGCTAAGCTACTACACTAGATTACTTTCTTCTTGTGTTTTTCTTATTGTGTTAGGGTATAGAAAGTGAGAGGCAATATGGGTATTTATATATGGATCATGGAGTACATGTGTGTTATTGCATGCATGCATGCAATGGGAATTGGGAAAGAAGGGGATGGAGGAAACAGTTGGGAAATTAAATTCAAGGAATTGAATTGAACATGTATAGTAAATGCGAGCGAGCTGAGCGAGGGGCATTAAAGTCAACCCCAACAAGTCTCGAGAGTGGCATTGAGTATTTGCATGGCTCAGAGTTAGGTGAATCAAAGTAAAAGGGTTGGGAAGGAACCCTTTTACTCTTAGCCCGGTGTATTGGCTTGTGACCATAATAAAGATCGAGATGAGAACTCTCAGGAGAAAATAAGGTTATAATGTTTGTTGCAGTTATAAAAATAGTATTGGATGTCTAAAAGAATTTAAATGAATTAGAAGAAACTAGAAAGAATTGACAACACATGAAAGAGTCAAAAAACTAGAATAAAGAATCTTCTAAAATAAAAGTAAAACATAAGAGCAATAAGTAGAGAAATGGTGATGATGTGGAATATAGAGAAATTAAAGTTGGGGGGAGGGGGGGAATGGATAAAGTGTGGAGGAGGAAGAAGAAGAGAGAATGGACGAGCGAATTTACTTAAATAACACTAAAACATAATGAATTTCCTTAAATAGCATCACATATGTTTTTCTTCTCAATGTAGTACGTTTAGTCATTATGCATTAGTCATTATTCAAATAAATATTTGTCATCACTGGACATTATGAACATTATTAAGTGTTATTTAGAGAATAAAACATTTTAAGTGCTATTTAGAAAAATGAATTAAATTTTAGTGTTATTTAGTGCAAAAAAGAGAGAGTGAGAGACAAAAAGAAGTAAACAAAGAGAGAAAAGTCAATTCTCTTCGAGAAAAGTAAAAAAAGAGTAAGCTTTGGCACTAGCCTAGAGGTGGAAATCCCTTGAAGAGAGAAGTTTGACGTGCGTTGTCAGCTGATGACGTCGAATAAGAAGCAAGTGCTGGTAAGTGCTGACGTCGAAGAACAAGAGAAAAGTCTAACGTCAGAGGTTCCTATTGACTGAAAATCCTTGGCATTCTTTATTTTTTCGATCCGAGCAATGCCCGCCTATAATTATCTTGGAGGAGTGAGTTCTTGATGTATTTATTTCTTTTCATCTATTTCTCCTCTTGGCTTTGTTTTGTTTTGATTTGGATATTTTTTTATGAGTAATTTACCTAAATAAAAGTAAAATATAATGACTTTCTTAATATAGGACCATATGTTTTTATTTCCAACATAGGACTATTGGTCATTATTCATTAGTCATTATCCAAGTAAATGTCCACTATCAGTGGACATTATTTGAAACAGAACTTGAAATGGCATGAAAAATGAAGTTCCGATCTATAACCAAAAATATGAAATGATCCAAACTGAATCGCAACCAAACTAAATAAATCATATCAGATTTAATTATGAAATCAATTAGATCCGAAACTAATCATATCCGAACCGATTAAACCCGAAATTGATTTAAATTTAGACTCGTTTATTCTTTATGTTTATGATCATTTTAAATTCTAAATCAAATTATTTTTAAACCAAAGTCTGATTTTTATTTTAAAAAAATTATGCTTTTATTTTAATAATCTTTAAATAGTGCATATTTAATTCTTTTGGCACGCTTTGAGCATGAGTATGGTATTGTACTATTTCGTTTCAAAACGGAAGAGTACATGATGGTTTTGGGGTTCATCCGGTATCGATATCAAACTGTTTAAATAAGAGTAGTTCGTGATAGGTTCCGGTTGTATCACGGACCGCGCCCATGCATAGCACTAACAACTCATTTGATTGAACATATTTTTAGTCGTTCAAATAATCATTTACTCTTCGTAATGTAATATACTTTTTAAGTTTTTATTTATGTTGTTATTATAAAAATCTTTTTTATTAAGGTAATTTTTTTAATAAATTATTGTCGTTTAAATATTAGTTAATTAATGAATTCCTATTAATTTACTTTTAAAAAATCTTTTTTATTAAGGTAATTTTTTTAATAAATTATTGTCGTTTAAATATTAGTTAATTAATGAATTCCTATTAATAAAAAGTTAAGGTTTGAAGAATCAAGACTTCGAACTCATTTCAAGTTAAAGAAAGGTAAAAGATGATGTATCTAAAGAAAAGTTTGAAGCCCACTTTTAAAGCACAGCTGATTTCATGGGTATTTAAAAGTGCTTTTAGTTTAATTTTATTTCCGTCAAGAATGGTGACAGTTGGAACGAGTGGTTATGAGCGCAAGTCAATGAGTGTAAGTTTTATGCATTTGTTTAGTTGTGCATGCATGGCTGACACTTGGAGAGTATATACACACGGAATATATATATATATATATATATATATATATGTCAGTGGTAATCTTCAAGCTGTTCGACATGCACAAGGCCAAGGTAAAAGTTGTTACTCCGTATATATACTTTTCTATTTCAAATTTATGGTCATGTTTTGGACTCCCGGCGATTTTTATTTGTTTGCACGTTTTGCTTAATAATTCGATAAAATAAAAATTTCTATAACATTTCATACTTCATAGAACTTACTTTTGAGATATTTGAAACATTTTATAATACTCCATCCATCCTACAAAATTTCCCCCCTTTCTTTTTCCATCCATCTAAAAAAATAATTCTCTTTTTGTTATTAAAAAGTCATTTTTACTCCTACTAATTCTTAACCTACCTATTACATTACACTTTTTCTCTATTAATCTATCCATTACATCCTACTTTAACAATCACATCAAAGGACATTTTTGGAAAGTCAACACTAAAATACACTCTCCTTAAATCCTTTAAAATTCAAAATGAGAAGTTTTTTAAGGGATGGATGAAGTATATAATTTGTATTTTTATCTACTTAATTTGCAAATAAAATAATTTTAAAAATAATACTCGTAAAACTATTTACATTATTCGAAGTAAGACGATATATATACTTCGTATAGGTATATAATTCCGAGATGAAAATATTGGAAGTTAAGAGTTAACGTTCAAAAGAATTGTGAGGAAAAAAATATCAATCACATAAATAATTCATTAAAGAGAAATAGAAACAGTTAAATTTTAAGAGAATACAAAATGAAATTGTGTTTTTTAAGGACGTGTAAACCTTTTTGACTCAACTACACATCCATTAACTAAAGAATTACTGTAATTGGGCCTTACATTGGAAAATCAAAACTTGGGCTCCGTGGGCCGCTTGGGGAATTCAGGGTCCAAATTGACTTCTTCGTCTAAGTTATTATTCCCACACCGGATGAATGAAAGCACAGTTTCAAATTCATATACTCTGGCGTCGCAGTTTAGAATGTCCCTTCGGGGACATCCGATAAAATTGGAACGATACAGAGAAGATTAGCATGGCCCCTGCGCAAGGATGACACGCACAAATCGTGAAATGGTCCAAATTTTTTTTCTCCTTTTCTCCCTTATATTTCACTTTATCTGCTCTAATCTTTTTTCTTTTTTTGGTTTCCTATAATCTATCCACGCATTTAACCTGGTAAATTTTGTCTTTCCTGCGTTTAATTCGGATATCATCTGCTAATTTAGGGTTTTCTATGAGTTGCTAACCCTAGTTTCCACGCATTTAACCTGCCAAATTTTATGTTCCCTGCTCTTCTTTTGGATTTGATCTGATAATTTTTTGTTTTCTGGGTGTTCCTAACCCTAATTTCAGTGATTGGAAACCCTGGACACTCATCCAGGGATGATGTGTTCAAGTTTTGATTGCACCTTTGATACATTGTGTGCTTTCTGATTTTAATCTCTGCTGTTTTGGGATTTTGTTTCCCTTGTTTAAATTTGCTGGGTTTTGGATTTTTTCCCTTCTTTTCCAGCTAAAAGCTCCCCAAATTCTAGCTTCCATGATGATGGCACTAGTCTTATGAACTCAATCGGCCTCATATAATTATAATTATATGAGGCTGATTGAAAAATGGTCCAAATTTTTTTTTTCCTTTTCTCCCTTATATTTCACTTTATCTGCTCTAATCTTTTTTCTTTTTTTGGTTTCCTATAATCTATCCACGCACTAGTCTTATGAACTCAATCAGCCTCATATAATTATGACTCTAATCCTATATATCCTATATATCCTATATATATATATGTAAAAGAGGGTTTCAAAGTTGTGGTGACGACATGTGTCATGCCACACGTGCATACTAATGACACGTGTCCCGCCACGCGTATATCACATGACACATGTACGTCCATCCATGCATGTGAGTTAATTTTGTATTAAATAATTCGTATTTTTATTTTTTATAAACTCTTCACTTTCCAACAATAAAAAACTATTATTTTTATTAACTTTTTATAAACTCTTCACTTTCTGACTATGTTAAAACCAATTTATTGTTTTGACGTATCTTAAAAATATATGCACGATTATTTTATAATTTTAGAAAACTTATGTATATAATTTATTGATTAAAAAGATGTTACTTATAATTTTTAAAATTATCCATCATATCAAAAAATACTAATTACATATAAATTTTATCACACGTGCATCTTTATTAAATTCATAACATATTTTAGTTGTTTTTCTTATTACATTACTTATTTTACTATATTTTTTTCAGCAAACTAAACAAAGTAAAAATTTAATTGAAGGATTACATGTGGCACATACAAATATGCATTATCTAATGATGTGACATTCCTTAATTGATCTATTCGAGATTTTTATATTAATTTTTATTAATTAAAACAATTTTCATTATTATTTTATTTGATGACCATTAATTTTGCATAAAATGTTTATGTCATGGAGGCACTACACCTCCCCACATGTCATGTGGCACATGTATATATTTATTATTATTAAATTTTTATAAAAACTTCACTTTCTTACATTAAATAACTTATATTAAATTTTTATAAATCCTTCACTTTCTTACACTAAATAAGCATTACTGTTGAACAAAAAGAAAATTATTGTTATCAAATTTTCAAAATA